GCAGACGGTGAAACTGGAGAACCTGGAGTGGACCCAACTCCAAGTCCTTTGATCCCAGGGCCTCCAGGCCTACCAGGTGACAAAGGACCACCAGGACCAATAGGTAAGCGTTCTAAAGTGATTTTAAAAAGTAAAAATGACTACTTTAAGCTCACTTTATCGTCTATAAGCCATTTCCTGATGCAATGTCGTGTCAAGTTTATCAAGAAAAAAAAAATTATAGTGTGAAACTGATACCTTTGAAATCCAAACCCTTCCTTCAAATGTCAAGCGATATTATTAATGGGATGACAAATCCTAGTAGAAACAAAACTTGCCATTCCTTGTCAAAATTGCCAAATCGCAATTTTAGGGCCGAAAGGAATGCCAGGCTTTGATGGGCCACCAGGACTACCAGGGAAACGAGGTTTGAGAGGCAAAAACGGTATACCAGGAGCAAGAGGCGCTCCGGGTATACCTGGATCAATTGGAGATATGGGAGTAATAGGCCAAAAAGGAGTAAGTGTCAAGTTTTCGTTGCTATACTATGCCTACAGAAAAGTCTAAGAAGCTATTTTTCAAATGCTGCCTGCTGCAAAGTATTTTTATTTAGGTAAACAAAAATGTTATCTAGATTTAAAAATCAACATTGCAGGTATGTCCTACTTACTGCGCCACAGATGGCGGAGTGTTCTTTATCGAACCACCAAAATGGTTCTTTGACAACTGAGCTCCGCCCACAAATGCGGAAAAATTCCTGAATTCCGGCCCGAATTGGTAGTAACTGTAGTAATTGAAGCAACTCACAGTGACCACCCAGAAATGATTATAACAAGGAAAATTACGGAGACTTTCAAATGTACGTAGATATATTAGGGAAATGTACATCCTGTACTAAAGCTTTAACGTAACTTAATCTTGACTAATTGTTATTGCCTGATTGTTACCCATTTTCCAAAATAAAAAAAATTACCACTTTTAAACAGAGCTTGAAAAACTAGAAACATGCAAATAACAACATAAATTAATCCAATACTTATCAAGAGAACATTTAGTTTTCGTTACAGTATCCCAGAATGTCTTTCTTATAACAGAGGCTGTAAAGTGCAAAAAAAAATTGAACTTAAAAATGTGCCTCAAATGTCTAATGAGCACTAATCAAAATGAATGTTTATCACCTTTATATAATAAAAATGAAGAAAATAAACTAGAAATAAATATATCCATATTACTTAACCTTAGAACTTTTCCAACAGCAGCAATAAGTAAGAAGATGAGGAGCAAAACAGCCTAAAACTTAAAACCAACAAATTAAAAAAGCCACATTTGTCATCGTTATTATCACTACATCCTCACAGTTAGAATAAATGACTCGTCTAAAACCTCATCAATAATCCAAAGAAAATGCTATTTTAAAATTTGTCCCTTCGTCAGTTTTTAAAGGAACTGCAGTCGTACAATGGCGAATAATCTTTGCGTCGTTTGCGCATCCTCAAAAGATTTTCTAGCGATTAACTTGCAGTTCTCATACAAAGCAGCTGTTGATTACATACGAAGAATTGTACCGCTGTACAGCAAAACGTGAAAACTAGAAGTCATCATATAACTACTAAACAGTTTTGATAAAACAGATAGAAATACATAAGGGTCAGATCATGTCCAGTGAAGTGCGTTATACAAAAGCAGAAACAAAGAACGGCTGCAAAAAACTTCCTAACCCTTGAGAAAATTAAAATTATGTACATTCGAGTGCGACTCCAACGACTGTAAGGCAAGAAAAATTAGTGTACAAGAAAGCATCAGGTTTAAGCCTAATTCATCAATCAACTTTACCTCAGAAAAATTGATTTGAAAAGCATTATCTCGACTTGAGTAACTTTGCTTAGTAACTGTTCCATAAAGGAGAATCCTACAAAAGTTTAATAATTCAGCTGAGGGCGACGGAACTGAATAAAATTTTTCTTAAATCTTAGTTATTCAAATTGATTTTTAAAATAAAACCCAAGGAAACATATGAATTAAGCAAAAAGACGTTTCCATTATATTTTCGATTTACGTAAGTAGGAACAGTGATGAGCTAAACAAAGTGAGCCAACAAAAAAATTTACACATGCAAGCAAAAAAATCAAAATTTATCAGAAAACGAGTGCCACTGACTGTAAACACCTTTGAAAAATAAACTTCTATAAATTATAATCAAAAAAAACTAAAAAACTGATAGGCAAATGTAATTTTTACTATACTGAATTAAGCTAAAAGATAAAAGTAAAAAGTACTAAAAGACTTAAAAATTAAAACTAAGAAAAGCTGGTACTTCCACAAGGTTCTAAAAAAATCACCATCTGGAACCATTTAATACACGTGTATAACAGAATGGAATGAAAGACTTCCACTAAACAAAGTTATAAACTTCTCCTGAACTCATCAATAAAAATCTGTCCAAATATGTTTCACCAACCAAATCTCTTCAAAGATTATCCGACAAAACCTTCAATAAAATCAGTAAATTACGCAGCTGTTGCTGTGCAATGATCAATAAATTCTTTTGCAGCAGGCATTTTTTCATGACCACTAGGATCGAAAATTTCTTGGTTAGCAACAATCGGTAGAAACACATCTATAAAGTCTTGTGAATATGGTGGTGAAACAATCTCTAGAACTTCGACTGCAAAATATCTGAAAAATCGGGATATTTTTAAACGAACGGTCAAGATACAAACAATAATTCAGTCCCTTCTCAAAAACGTTATTGTGAAATTATCAGGGCTTACCTAACGAGAGAAATATCAATCTGTCCGTCACGAAACATTCTATTAACTTTTTCTACCACGGGCAAAGCCAAACCAACAGAGAGCAGATGAACGAATCTATCAATAACATTTCTCTGTCTTTCCATGATAACCTCAGCAGCTTCATTCAATGATGACTGTCGATCATAAAGCTCGCACAACATTTGAAACACCCTTACAGAAAGAATATCAATGCAAAAGCCAGAAAGAGCTTTTCAACAAACAAAAATACTACACTTTCGGTTTCAAAGAAAATATGAAGAAGTCTACTCACCTTAAATGTAGATTAGGATGTGAAGAAGCAATTTGGTCCAACAAAACAAGATGCACAGGCTCCGGTTCCCCTATCATATCCTCACTCAGCAAATAACCTTTTACGTAATGCAAAAGTCCTGCAGCAACCACTGGTATTCGAATGCCTAAACTTCAAAACCGTTGCTAAAACTGCATGCCTCAGAGCCTATTTCAATAAATAATTTTCTACTTACTGTATATAAGATGTTGCAACTCCTTCAAAAGGTCTTCGGCAGACTCCAGAAGTGTAACAAGCCTCTCAACTCCGTCTCTTGTGCTGTCCAGCTGCTGACTACTTCGCTAAAACCCATAAAATAGAAATGAAAAACTTTTTGTCGATGATCTTATATGCTGATTATTGAAATTTACAGTAAAAAACATTTTAAAAAAAAAAGGAATTGAGAAACACAGAATGAAGCATAGAAGGTGTCAATTTAAACTGAAAGTTCTACACATTTCTATTCATAAAACAACCGTATGACCTGTTTAACTGAAATAACGAGTAGGTAATATAAATTAAAAGCTTGCCGTTCTAACCCCATCCACCTGTTGCTCACCAACGCAAGACGCGTAAGCCAACAAATACACATATTTAGGACGATGATCGGTATGAACCTTAAAATAACCACTAAAAACTAATTGAAGTTCCTTTTTCTCAAAAAAAAAAAACTCAAGTATTCTTTAAAAACTTAAAAATTGACCAACTTTTTTACACTTTCATTAAACACCTAAAACCGAACAAAATAATGTTTCGTTTTCAAATATTCTGCTAATACCTTCACGCCTTCATAAGAAAACAGTGAGTCAATCAACAAATCCACAAAGAGCGGCTCTCGGATTAGCTCAACAGGAGGAGGGTTTGGAGATGCATATTGCTAAAACGCATACTTCACAAGAGGATATGAGAAAACAAACAATAATTTACATCAAAAGATGTAGGAAGACTCATTTCTTGTACCTGGTAAAGAAGAGTAATGTCTGCAGGATTCAAACACTGTTTACTCATCATTGTATGCATTGCTTGAATTAAGTTTGGAGGAATCTTTTCTTCATTGAACTGTAAGAGAGCCACGTAAAGCGCAGCAGTGTCTTGCTCCCGCTCATGGGCCATCTTATGAAGCGCTTGGGAAAGATGAGCACAAGCAGCGGCACGCATTCCACTTTCCTAAAAAATGAATTGTCCCTGAGTACGTAAAACTGGAATAAATTTGACCACAAAAGAACTGCAGCGTAATAATTTTTTATTGTAAGAAACCTCCTGACTCATGACGCGCAGTAACGTTTGAGTGTATAAATAAGTATGTTCACTGTGACAAACAACTCTAGCAAGTTCTTCAAAGGCTTTTTCATACTTTTCAGTCATCAGACCTCTTCTATGTTCCGCAAGTACTTCGTCAATAGCAGACAGTAGAACTCGTGAAAAAATTTCAAGCTAAAAAAATTAAACAATAATTGAAGCTGAAAATTTTTGTAATAAAGAAGATAAATGAATGAATAAATTTCACTCAACAGAAATAAAAAAAAAAAAAACAGCAGCTTCCATGGTGTAAAAACAGTGGTTTTAAAATAGCCCAAGTTTCCAAAGCGTTCAACTAATGGAAAAAAAACCTGTTGCGCAGCGGTGTTAACATTACTAATTTCGTGCTGAAAACCTGCATCAGAGATGAGCTTAACAGCAAAATTCAGCATCAAACAATGAGGGTACTGCTCAGCTAACTGATAAACTAAACGACGCCAAGGCCTAAAGTTCAACCTGACCTGTTCATTAGTACAGCAATATTATAAAGTAAGAACACAGCAAAGATAATAGTTTTTCATCAAAAAATGTTCTAAAACTTAAAAACGACACACCCATGAGAAATTAAATCCGGAAGCCATTCAATTCCCGGGCCTCCTTCGGCTTCAAATATTTTGTCAGCAAGTTCGGGTTGAAAGTGTTTACAAATAAGAGTGCTCAGTGTCGTTTCAAGACAATCTTGTACAACTGCTATATCAGGCTCAAGGTCGCCAATCCAATCAGAAAGAATGTTCCCAATCTTTAAATGCCTTTATTAATAACTTCAAAAGCTTTTTAAACAAACAAAAAAAACTAGCAGCAAAAGACGGAAGAAAATTACGTTGAACCCAATCAAAAGGAAAACTTGGAAGAATTGATGGTAAAAATTATTTGTAAATCCAGAATCTTTTGCGTTTTAGAACAAAACTTCCTTTCTTCTTGTAGTAATAGGCAATAAACATATCTTTGCAGATATTAGTGTATAGAGAGAATAAATCAATATGTGCAGGTCAATACCAAATGTCATATAAAAAGCCTCAATAAGTTGTTGAATTATTTTAAAATTAACCTGGCCCATGCAAGAATAATTTTCGCAAAGCGACTCTACAACAGTTTCCGGGTCACCCCCACACTGGAAATACGTTCCTAACACAGCTTCAATCTGAGGTTCCATCACAAAATCTGGCACTTAAATAAAAAGAATTATAAGTAAGCGCAAACCAAAAAATGCAATCAAGTTACAAGAAATCACCTTACTCAGCCAGGGTTATGAGAAAGTATAGAATACAAGCTTTACTGACGAAAATGGAATCAAAAATGTGTCTCACGTTGAAGAAGCTTTTTACAGTGTTCCAGCATCAACTTTTTTTCTTCTTCCATAAGTTCAGTGCTAGATCCTGCTTCTTCATCCTCACCTTCCTCCATTTCTGGATTTCTGAAATGACACATACATCATGGCTACAATTTTATCCTTCACAACTCTTTAAATAAGACAACATCATGAAAGTACAGACTTCCCACATCCACTTGAAACGCTTGATACAGAAAAAAATAATATCTTTTTTCAAGTGCATACGCTGCTCAACAAACATTTATTGACTGGCCTTCACTTTTCCAATAAATACAACTTTAGGTACACTCTGCGTATCTGCGTACTGTCTGAGAACCGAACCAGAACCACTGAATACAAAAATATCTAGCTTATAAAGCTTTTTCACGACCAAATAGACTGGCTCTGATAGTCTGCTTAAAACCTAACTTTTTTGGACCTGAATGTTGACACCTATTCTGTTATACAATACGATCAAGCGCCAAATACCTCGTATCATTTACTGCTATATATGCCAATGGAGCTTTCACACCGGATTTTGAAAAAGTATACGCAACTCTCCAATGCGAAGAGTCTAAAAAAGTAAAGTTTACACCTTTACACCTTTCGCACCTAAAATAAAGAGGCGTATACTGGAATAAACTTTTAACCGTTGAAGAATCACCTTCATTGAAACCACTAGCTAAAATTTAACCCCAGTCCTCTCAGCGAGAGAAATCAAAACTCTGTCTACTTAACGTCCGGAAAGTTCAGCCACCGAGTTCCTACAGCGCTGACTAAAAACTAATGATTTGGAATTTGAAATCACAGATACTCACAAAACCCCTGTTCTTGAGTTGGTATTGACCAGTTCTTTCACATATTTTTGAAAACCAAAATTACACGCTGTTAAAAACGGTTGTCATCTTACAGATTCAGAAATTAGACACTTCTTGAAAATTGCACTAGCCGACAGCTCTGCAACTAGTAAACAAGTTTAGCAATTTCTCCTACTTTGAATGAAAGGAGCGTGCAAACACAAAATGTTTACCATACGCAAAATTAGAAAGATAGATAATACATAGTAACTGTTCTGTTCTAGTAACCGCAATAACTTTCACACTCCCATCCAGCAACGCAGAAGATATGAGTATCAACGAACGATTCATGACCGAATGAAAAAAGACTTTTAGAAGCCTACAAACGATATTGCGAGGGAAAACACTATAAGTACAAAGCCGAAACCGAAAAAAACACACACCCAAAATTGTATCCAAAAATACCCTCAGCCGAACTGCTCCTGAACTCTCCGTAACCGACTTTTACAGTAGTTCATGAACAACGGCTCCCAGTCTCCTTCCTGCACGAGCCCCGGGAAAATAACTTTTGAAAGTT